GAACCCGAAAGAGGCTATGCGGATTCTCTTTTGGGGAGATAAACTGACCCTGAACTCGTTTAAACGGGTTCAATGGGCATATTTTTGGCTGAGCCCATGGGCTCGGAGATCACACGTTAAAACCGGCCTCATGCCACATGACACCCTCGTGTCAGTAGTATAGTCAGTAGTTCAAGTCGAGTCAAGTGTCGAGTCAGAGGCAGTCTGAAACAGAGTCGCGTTCAGACAATTAATACAAGACATTGGAATAGTGATACTCGTCGAGACTACATTGTTCTCTCTACTAAACCTGATTGTTCATACTAACACTTCTACTTCTCTGTATATATTCCTGTTTGTAATATATCTGTGTTATTCCCTAACTGTGTTCGAGTTCATCCTTATCGGTTCTACCTTGGACTATCACCGTGGTACAAGGAACCGGACCATAACATTTCCCAAAAGGGAAATATGATCTTCTGCATGAGATTTACATGTTGTCATATAAATGGAAAAGTAAAAAGAGAAAAAGAGGATGAGAAAAGATGTCGCCGAGTATTTATAGTGCCAGAAATCATCCCCTAGGAGCAGTTTCAAAAATAAGGAGAAGTTAACCCAATAGTACATTAGTAAGAAAGGTATATATTTTAAGCAAGGGAGCTAATTCACTGATAGTCATATTGGTGGATGTGTCACTATCTTCTTCACTTCAGAATATAGTCAATAGCTATTTTTGTCCTGACCTAGCATCTCGGCCTCGGTCACTTACCAACCGCCATAATGTCGCTTGTAATAGCAGCAAGAAAATACAAATGCTCCCAGGCTTTGTACAGAGTGAACATCATTGTAGAAAATAAGTACCATATAATAAACAAAATTTAGTAAATATTTTCACCATTTTTGTCTGCATGTGTGCACTAGTATGAGAAAAAAATCTGGTAGAACTGGTCGGTATTAATGTAATGGATTCAACTGGAATTCGAACTCGGCTCTCTGATTCCTAAATCCAAGTCGCTCCACCGTGCCTCCCTTTTTATTTTTTACAGTTTATCAACCTTCTACAAGTTATTTAAAACCAGAATATAATTTTAGATTATAATAATTTTTGAAGATGATAATGATTTACTGGTACTAATATTTAATCCATAGCTGAGATGAATCTTATTTACACATTTATAAGTCTGCTATCCATCCATGCATTGAATATTGCTGTCACATCTGGTCTGGTGCTTCTGCTATATTTAAATATACTTTATAAAATTCAAAGAAGAATCTGCACTTTTATTGGTGCTGACCTGGCATCTCAGCCTCGGTCATTTTCCGACTGCCATAATGTCGCTTGTAGCATCAGCAAGAAAATACAAATGCTCCCAGGTTTTGTACAGAGTGAATATAAAAAAGTAATATAATAAACAAAATTTGGTAAATATTTCCACTATTTTTAACCGCATGTGTGCACTAGTATAAGAAAAAAATCTAGTATAACAGCTTAGTATTATTGAACTTATACTAATTTGAAACACATCGTCATTTGAAAAGATGGCTTATAATTATGACAAGTATTTGCAGTTCTTGCCATAAACCTTATCTTATTTTCTGACATGTCTCTCTTTCAAAGAAACAAGAAAGAAAGAGAGAGTTCTTTTTTATGCAGAACTAGACTAGAATGTTGATATAAAATGGCCATCCATGCTACATTTAGCTTGTGTATGTGTTAGCTTTGGTAATATCAACCAAAAAATTATCGAAAAGCTATCAGGCAAAATCTATCAAATATATATATATATATATATATATATATATATATATATATATGCTAGTATGGGAAGTAAAAAAATACTTTACTGATTTATCCAGAAATATTCAAAAGGTGGATATACCATATTCTCGTTCTATGTGAATTTTCTTTCCATCATGATCTGTCTCATGTCAGTCTCTCTGAAATTTTAATCTACTTTATTCTGTCATATTTTCCTGACTCCTTTGATGCTTGATTTTATTTTACCTTGTACACAAAGCAGTTAAAAGTATCTGCAATGTAATTGGTTCTAACCTGGTATCTCAGCTTCAGTTACTCCCCCCACACACACACCACAACATAACTTCCTTTTGCCTTTTCTACAAATACTTTCATGGTAATTATTCTGATGAACTTTTCTCTATGGTACCTAGACTCTACAAATTTAAGCACAGTACTTGATTGGCAGTAAGGTCTCATCATTTTACAGCCAAAATGGCTAGATGTAACTGTAATTTCTATGCTGTTTCTTTTGTCATGCTTCTTTTTTTTTTGAGACTCTTTTCTTTCCATCATCATCTGTCACATGTCAGTCAGATTTAATTTCTAGCGACTGACAACTTCAAGGGAACAGTCTTCAATTGTTTATCTCACTTCCACTGTCCAAAGCTGCAGCAAAGTTCAATAAGCTCCTCTCTTACATTGTATATGTAAAACCTCTCTCTCTCTTTCTCTCTCTCCCTTTCTCACTCTCTCTCTCCCTCTCCCTCTCTCTCCCTCTCTCTCTGTATCTCTTCTCGTGCTTACTTTTATTTGAACACAGATATATGATAAAAAGGTTCATTTCACACGAAAATTTTGTTTACCAACCAACTTTAGGTTACATTAAGTTATTTTTCTTTTTTTTGTTTTGCTTGTATTATCATCATTATTATTATTATTATTATTATTATCATCATTATTATTTTCATTCTGTTTATTCATGTATCTATTTTATTGTTTTCTTCTGAATTGGTAAAAACTTTTACTGAGATTTATTTAGGGACTCATGGTTAATTTATTCAGGACTCTAAATAAATATTATCGGTTAAGATTACAAAATAAACACCATTCACCATTTAAAGATTTATCTCCCACGTTTGTTGTCCCAGATAAAGATCATTTTTTGGATAGTGTGGGAAAATGAAATAAAATCAATAAAGAAAATAATAGTAAATAATAAAAAAAAGAAAAAGAAAGATATTTTCCCATAATGCTTGTAATAAAGTAACCAGAAATTTTATTACTACAGTTGGTTTCATCAAATGCTATTAGGTGGTGCTGTTGAAGTCTGTAAAAAAGCGAACATATTCCTTCATCAGTTTCTTTTGCCTCCTTGCTCCAAAGATGTAGCAAACTGTGAAAAAGAACGTCCCCACTGAGGTATGTTCATTTCCATGGTCAACTGACAACTGAACTCTCTTTTCACTTTCCAACATATTTCATTCGCATTACTGATATATATAAAAGAAATACTGATCGTTTAGAATAAAATGATCCTGACGAAATCTTGCAAACCGAAGACTTGGACCATGATCCAAATAAACCTTGTGAGTGTTTTTGTTGCACTTGCAATGCTTGCACCTTTCTGAAATTCATAAAGCATAATATGGCGAAAGTGCAATTTGTGATCCTCCAACATTAAGCCATTCATTTCCGGACAAACGTCAATATTTCAACAAAGTCTGACTCATAACTCTCCGAAGCAAGGTTTCAATCTAGAACACAGTAGGGATCAGCACCAATATAAACCCCATTGTCAAGTAGCGGTCAGTTTATACTAATAATGAAAATCAGGCTCGAAATTTTGTAATGATAAGATATTAACTACTAGGTTGTTCAAGAATTAAAATATTAATTTTCTGCAGAAGAAACAACTACCACAGAAGAAATATATTGTCATCTTTTATTCTTCTGTAATTATATATATATATATATATATAGTTTATGAAAAAATAGGTAATTCGTATGGGTAGACCCAAGGAGGATAAAATCCAAAGAGCTCAATGTAAATCCAGAGCAAATAATTTAAATAAAAACAGACCACTTTAAGGTTTAAGAGCTGTGGTGAAATAATTTATTACATGGAGCCTTAAAATGGTCTGTTTTTATTTAAATTATTTTTATTTAAATATATATATATATATATATATATATATATATAAAGATATAATCATACATAAAATCAATCAGCAATATTAATGCGATTAATGGTGAAATCACTTCGCTAGTAGAACATAATGTATGCATTAAAATACTGTTAATCCATTGAATGATGTGATCCTCATTTATAAAAATGTTGTCAGATGTTTCTAGTGTATATTTTTTTAAGTTAAGCAAGTACTTTCAAAGATCCCTGTCTTCATCATCAGGCTGTAATTTTTTTCCTTTAAAGTTAAAACTTGAAGATGAAATAATTGTTTGTAGACCGAAAGATGTTTTTTAAGAATGTGCTATTTATTGACGGTTGTCCAATCTCGGAACGTGTGAGTCGCAACGCTAAAGTTCAAAATTTCAAGTGAGATTTTTTATATGAATTTTGTAATATGGTAAATCCACGAATTCTTTTTTTACAAGTGTTTTTCAGTTAACATAACATGAACAAAGTATATAGTTCAATTAATATAGTGACATGTCTTAGTAGCTTTTTTCTCAGGAATTTCGTACTGTGGGATCAATTGTTTTTTATAAACATATAAGGCAGCATATATTAAAAGACATGGATCTTCGAAAGTACTTGCTTAACTTAAAAAAATATATACTAGAAACATCTGACAACAGTTTTATAAATGAGGATCACATCATTCAATGGATTAACAGTATTTTAATGCATACATTATGTTCTACTAGCGAAGTGATTTTTCACCATTAATCGCATTAATATTGCTGATTGATTCTATGTATGATTATTTATTTTATATATAAAATATATTTGCCTAATATTATATGTTTATATATATATATATATATATATATATATACATTATATATAATATAAAATTGTTTATTACCACCATTGTTAATCATCTGATGAGACGTCTATTGGATGTCGAAACAATATGTATTTTTGTTGTAGTAACTTGCATGTTCCAATGTAATAGTTTATAATAAATATTTATTGCTCTTTTTTGTGTTGAGCCCTTTTTTAAATTAATGCTATGAACATTTGAATTTATATTCTTTTTGTTCTTTTACATTTGGATATTTATATATATATTGGATATATATATATATATATACATACATATAGATAGATAGATAGATAGATAGATAGATAGATAGATAGATAGATAGATAGATAGATGTGTGTGATCCATTGTCCGCTAGAGACCATGGATCGATGCCCATGCTTTAACTGCTGATGGCAATACAGCATTTGTTGTTGGTGCACAGGCCCACATAGGAGTGACAGTCTCAATTGCAGTATTTATGTGGGTTTCCTTCCTAACCTTTTGTTTGAAGTTGTGGGGAATATCAAAATCTTTATTATGTCATTATTTTCTCTTTGAGTTATGTGTTCCATCCAACAGGCTTCTCTCACTTTTAGTTTTAACTATTTATCTTAGGAAGCAGTTGTATGCAGCTAACAGTTTAGACATTTTGGCATTAGTTTGGTGCCATCCATATGAAAGACTTGAAATGATGAAGCTATTTAGGAATATGACACAAGATTTGAGGTCAATGTTTTGGCTTTATAGCACTTTGCAATTTTGTGCAATTCTATCTCTAGTACAACCTAAAAAGAAAAGTAAAATTATTTTAAGTCCTTACCAGCAAGCAAAAACAAAGATACCATTCTTCAGTTATCACAAATATTTACATTTAATATGTCCACACTACTTATTTTGCTTGGTCCCTCTTACTTTCAGTATGTTCTGTGAGTGTAAAATTATTCAAGCCTTCTTTCTTCATTATGTGTCTTAAAATTTTAATGGTCTCTTTCTATTCTATTATTCTATGTAGTGATGTTATTTTTTTAAAAATTATCCTCTTCTTCCTTCTCCTTTTTCTCTTTTTTCTCCTTCTTCTTCTTCTTCTTCTTCTTCTTCTTCTTCAAAAGTTATCATGAAATCAGGTAGACAGAGCTATTGGGAGATGTCAATGGTTATGCCAGCACAAAGTCACAAGTCATCGTGAAATTGGGTAGATGGAATTATTTGGGAGCCATCAATGGTTGTGCTAGTATGATGTCATAAATCATCATGAAGTTGGGTAGACAAAACTATTTGGGAGCTGTTAATGGTTGTGCCAGCACAAAGTCACAAGTCATCATGACTGAGGGCTTCAGCATACTGCCTTATTTAGACTGCTAATGATGCCAGATAATGTGCTCTCTTCCACGAACTGTAACTAAGTTCCACTTAGCCTAATTGCATTTTAAACCACAGATGGGCTCTGTTGGTGTTGAACAAACACAAATGTGCCTTAGCAGGTGTCTGCTACAGGGATTGGCTAGCTGTCCTAGTAACCAGTGATATTCGGATATGAGCAGCCAACCACTACATATATGCATGCATGGTTATATTTATATCTTTAGTATATCTGATTCAAGCAGAAGTTGACATCAAATTTTAGGGTCAATAAGTATGTGACATACACTGAAAAATAGTCTGAATTGCATCCAAATCTAATACAACAGTATTAACAGTAATTACATGATGGTGGGCTAAAATCATGTCAGCAGTTGCTGTTAACATGTCACCACTGGACAAAGGACATTCTCGATGCATTTCATCGGTCAGGGAAGAAGGTTTCCTCAGATGAACCACGTGTTCATGACCAAGGTGAGCCATGTCTTTGGAAGATATCAGATGTGGTCTAATCTGAAGTGGGATGGGATCTGCCAGGTTAAAATGCTTAAGGCACACATACCACATGATGAGCACACCATGAAACCATTTGTGAAGACCTAGACACTGTCACACAACCGCAACAGATGGAGGAGAATGGTGAACATCTCAGCACATTGAAACCCTAACATTTCCTTCTAGGGTTAAGGGTGGGAGAAGAAGAAGCAGAAGAAAAAGAAAAAGAAGAACTAACAGTAACATATGCTGCTTGCAAGTGTGTGTGTAGATGTGCGCTAGTGAAAGATGTATTAAGCATGTACCAATATTTCAAGCTAAAAACTGGTTTTCAACTGTGTATTCAATTTTTTTTAAGTGCTGAGAACTTGTACAATTCTAATAGATTTATTTTTCAAAGAGTGTTCGTACCATCAATATGGTAAGAGTGAGAGGAATTTAGTGTATTTATTACAGCATCTTTGATGTTAGGAACCTGATTTGCTTTCTTCCACATAAAGCTATCATCTGATATTCTCTTTTAAGATCTCAGCAATGATTTCCAACTTTATTACCATATTAAATTTGGCACCCAACTTGCAGACAATCATATTAGATTGACCTTTTGCCACTTATTAAGTAATTAGGCAAAATATGCACAATTTATGCAAATTTTATGTAAATGTAAGGGTAGGTTTGGTTCACCAAGGGAGAATGTTAATTCCTGTCTAAAGTTTTTTTTTTTTTAGGTAAGGTACTATATCAATTATATTTTGAATAAAACATGACCAAGAATTGAATGTACAACATTCCATGCAGTTGTAGCAAAGAATACAAGGGTGAAACTAGCTGTCCATTAAAAAGAAAAAAATGGAACATCAGAAAACTGTAATCTGTTCAGAGATCAGGGATGGCTGATCATGTGTATAGAAGGAGATGTGAGCATATCACCTTCTATAAAAGGAAGGCAAAAACAGCAGTTTAAAAAATACTGAAGAATGACGTGGTATTCATAGTTTTTAACAACAATTTTCACCCTATAAAAGATCCATTTGCCGTAAGAAGCACAGTGTATGAAGATATGTGAGTAAAATAACAACCTTACATTTTACAGGTGAAGATTGTAATGATTGGGAAAGTAATATCTTCAGAGTTGATTCCACAACATATCATACTCAACATATCAAGGAACATATATTATACTCAAAACAGTAACACCAAATATTGACTTATATAGCATCTTTTATAAATGTTATTTCCTTTCAGGATTTTGGCTATCATAGCCTAAGATTCCTTTCTTTTATTAATGTATGAATTACCATGACTTTTCAGGAAAGTTAGTGGAGTGGTCTCCCATTGCATTCTTCACAGTTTTGTATTCAGAGTTTTCCTTCTCTAAGACTGGCTACATCCGGTCTACTTGACTATTTAGCCCATAATTGCAGGCAGACAGGGAAACATGGATTCATGCCTTTCCACTCGGGCATTTGTACAAACCTGAATGCATCAGAGGTTAGATATTGAAAGTGGAGTAGTCTCTCATTGCATTCTTCACAGTTTTGTATTCAGTGTTTTCCTTCTCTAAGACTGGCTACATCTTGTCTACTTGACTATTTAGCCCATAATTGCAGGCAGAAAGGGAAACATGGATTCATGCCTTTCTCCTATGGCATTTGTATCTCATAAATGCATATCTTATATCTCATAAATGCATTAGAGGTTAGAATTTGAACCTGGCTTGCCAATTCCATTTTCTGCACTGATATTTGTTACACTCACTGTATACCCATTATAAAGCATATTAACAAAGAAATTAAAAGAATTTGATCAAGAACTATGTGTATAACATTCTATGCAGTTGTGGCAAATAATACAAGGGCGAAATTAGTTACTACCTAAAAATAAACTTGTGGAACATCAAAATACTGTAATCTGTCCAGACATCTGATAGCTGATCATGTGGAGGGAAGTCTTTATTTTTTACGGCTTATCAATCCTTTACATGTTATTTAAAGCCAGAAAATATTTTTAGATTGTAAGAATTTTTTGGAAATAATAATGATTTACTGATATACGTCTTACTAATTAACCCATAGCTGGGAGAGAAAAGATAGATTCATACATTTCCTAAGTGTATTTTGTGCATAAATGAACCTGACTAGAATTGGAACTTGGCACTCAACTCTCCAATTCCGAGCTGTTATCCATTATACCACTCATACATGGTATTTTCAAATGGTATTACAGCACCTGGTATTCCCAAATGGTCACCCATCTAGGTACTGGCCAGGATTGATATTGTTTAACTTTAGTAATTGTATGAGAAACAATCTTCCAACATGGCCTTGAGGTCATCTCATCCTCATTTGATAATGCAACGCTCTTTGCTACAATATTTGCCTCTAACCTCTAACCATTGGCTGACAAAGGCCAATATTTGCCTCTAACCTCTAACCAATAGCTGACAAAGGCCATCCTCTTCCCCAGTCTCACTGAGCACAATCTCAGTAATATTTTTATTACAGCTTGGGAAGTCTCATGGCCCTAAGAAGGCTACTGGTCCAAGAGGTTGTCCTTAAAAATATTAACCCTGAGTTATTCCTGATCTTAGCAAATTTATTTAGCCACTGCTTGGAGAAAAAATCATTTCCATATCTGTGGTAGATGTCAAGATTGTGAGTGAGTGCTCATTCCCATCACAGTATAGACCCACCAGCCTCTTCAGTGTCATTAGCAAACTTTTTGAAGCTATAATCAATAAGAATGCTGTTGATCACCTCAATATGAACAACCTCTTGAGTGACAAGTAGTATGGGTTTTGATTGGCTTGGTCCACTGCTGATATCCTAATTGCCATTACTCACAGAATCAGTGAGGCACTAGACAACCAATACATCTCAAGAAGAATTGCTTTATATATTTCAAAGGGCTTAGACAATGTGTGGCATAGAGGGTTACTGTACATGCTCTCTTGCTATAGAATTATTGGAAGAGTCTTCTCAATTATAAAGTCCTTTATAAAGGCTATGTCCCTGAAGGTAGTTAACAGCCAGTCCTCTAACATCCAAGCAATCAAAGCAGGCATCCCGCATGACATGAGTGGGCATCCAAAATTATAGATGACCAAAGCAGCTGATCTCTCCTCTTCTGACCTAGTTTTAACAACTCATTGATGAAAAAACTGTCAAGTCACATTCAATGCCTCGATAAAACCAAACTAGTCACATTCTATCATCAACAAGTGGACCCTGAATTTTCCTCTCTTGTCACTTAAGCGTCTATTAAAACTTAAACAATCAGACCTCAAACATCATTAAAAATACTGGAAAAATGCTTAGTTCCCTATACCACTCCAGTAAGTACCTGACACCTCCTACTATCCTCTACTTTTATGAATGCCTGATCATGCAGAAAATAGAGTATTGCTGCCATATATGGGCAGGTCTGTCCAGTCTTCACTTTCCATTCATGATAGAGTCCAAAAGCATGGCTGAAAAATGATTTCCCACCCTACAACCATGTTCCCCACAGAT